CAACAGGAAAGTTGGCTGCTAAGGTAATTTCCAACTTTTCAATTCTGATTTTGTGAAATAAGCTTAAAATCCTTGCAAGTATAACAGTGTCCTACTGGAAGCACATGTAGTCCAATCCCCACATTATGCAAATAAGGAAACTGAGGGCCAGGCAAATTATGTGATTCACCCAAGGTCACACATAGGAAAACACAAAACTTGGAATGGAAAAAAGCAAAAAAAGCTATTATCTTGTAGCTACACCTGACTAGCTCTTGTTCCTAATCACTGAAGTTGGTTTGCATCGTTCATGACCTGAGAAAGAAGGAAACCCTAGAGAGGATTTGTCTAATGCTCCAGACACAGAAAAAAAGGAAAAAGGTTGTTCAGTTCAGAGAGGATTAACCTAAGAGGTGTTGGGATGCTTCCCCTAAAAAACTAACATGACAATTCTGCCAGCTCATCCTCTCTTCTCTTCCCTCCTTCCTCCCTTCCCCCCAAACACAAGGTAGTAGTAGAAGTATATAAACAATGGACTAGAGACCTTTCTTCCATCATTTTATTCCTCCAATGTAACTGCTATGAGGCAATAACTCACTCTGTAGAGCCAAAATGACTGAAAGAATTGAAGAAAGGAGTCTCCATACATTCATTGAAGTATCTATTGGGAGAGGCATAGTGGAAAAGGTCACAAGTTTGGAATCCCAGGATTTGAATCTGAGTCTTTATTGCGCCATTGGGTGAGTCACTTTACTTCTCTGGGCCTGTTTCCTCCTCTATAAAAGGGGGGCAAGAGTGATCAGATGATGACCTTCCTTCCAGTTCTAAATCCCATGAGTTTAGCAAACGCCCACTCCATACTGATTCAACAACGAACATCTCCCTTTCTCCCTTCTTTTACCCTGCAACCCTGAATAGCTCCTACTTATGTTGCAGAGGTCTTGGCATTTTTCCATTCCAAGTTTTGTATTTCCCAATATTCTTAAACTATGAAGGTGTTAAAGGTGTTTGAAGGGCATAGGCCAACAGCCTAAGACCTTTCTACTCTAGCACAACCCCTTTCTCTCCTGTGGATCCCCACACCCAAGTCAACCACTCGGAGAGTGATGGATACACCACCTTCCAAAGGCCTATGTGGATAAGCAGAGGCCTTGAAGACAATCTTCATTTCAGCCCACAAGAAGTCTTTGACACTCCAATGCTCTGGACATGCCAAAGGCTTCATGAACTAATTTCTAAAGGACTCACACTGCTGTTTAGCCGGTAGCTCTAGAACCTGAGCAAGCATAATTTTTTTTATTTGAAAAGTCTCAAAAATAGGTAGGTCGTGTGATAAGAATGCAAGCACTCTGCATACTTACAATTTCAATGCATGGCTTAAGGTTTTGAGATTATTCCACATGGTAAGTGCTGCTATAAGAAACTAGTTACATCTCAAAAGTTCCATAGTGTATACACACACACACACACACATACACACGCACAGAATGGACATATCAGCAGAGTCAGCTGTCTCTAGTGTTTCTTCCACAGGGAGTGTGGATTTTCAGAATGCAGATGTGCTCAACTTAACTTTAATTTTTAAGGAGGAAAAGTGGATGAAATGAGACTCAGGAGGAGAGGAAAGTTGAAATAGCCTCAGGTGTATGAGAGGTAGATGAAATCGGTTTTGCTCCAGCTCACCCACTGAAAAGGGCTTTGGCTCCCCCCCTCCCCCCCCCAAAAAAACAATCACCCTGGAAAGAAACCAGGTCTTTGGGAAAGGAAAGCCAAGTTTTGTGCTCCATACTCTTCCTCAGCACGTGGTTGGGGCCGGTGGGGGTTGGGGCAAAGGATGACAAGTATCAGTACTTCATACAACTAGATTTAATAAGTTGTTGTTACAGAAAAAATGAAGTCCAAACTACAAAGTTTAAGCAGCTGTAAGCATTGGCAGACTTGAGCTCCATGTTTCAGTCACAGTACTGCAGTTCCATATAAGCATTAGTCCGAGCCCGAAAGGCAGAAAGCTTAGTAAGGGTTACTAGCAAAAAACAATCTAAGAGAACAGGTAATAAAAGATACGATACATTGAAAATAGTTGTTAGTTGGAAAACAAGTACAGAGATCTTAGCTGAGAACATTAATGTCCATTGTTTTGACAGCAAAAGTACAAACACCTAATACTTTATACCCCAATAGAACCGCGTCCAGAAAAAAAAATATAGCCGAAGTGAATCCCATATTAGCACCCAAGCTTGATACTTGGTGGCTAAGAACCCTTTTTGTATAATTTTAAATGTCCCAAGAATCACACATCCACTTCCTGACCTGTTACCCATTTGGGGTATAGAGTACGTCATCAGCAGTGATCATAAAATACTCTGTGGTAAGATGGAACAGTAGAGTGGCTGAGATAGAGAAGAAGGTTTGGTTTAAAAAAAGAAGGAAAGAAGGGTTAGTCAGACATTTCCATACAAACTAGAGTAAGAAGCAACAGTTGTACATATAAACCAGTTCTAACAGAAGAGACATTTGTACTAGTCTGTGACTAATCTTTCCCTCAGACCTTGCAAAAGGAGATGTCACAACACTCAGAAGGTTAACATAGGAGCTTTTCCCATTTAAAAAGCCGGGTTGTTGCTAATCTAATAGATAAAAGGAAATTAGCAAAGTTATTTGCTAATTGCATAAATGTACTACATCTTGCTTTAGCCCATGCCTCACTAACAAGCTAAAAAACACAAGATATAGGCAGAAATCTAAGCATAGTCTTTGTAAGCACTAAGCGAGAAATTGCCAATTTCCCCTCTTCTGTCCCTAACCACCGCTTATTGGTAATTAATGTAAAATTCCAACCTGGATTACCTAATTGGAGTCAAAATTTTACATTACAACTTGATCTAATCTATATATTATTTACAAAACTGAATACATAGGGCACACACAATAGCCCACTCTGGCCATGGATTTCTCCGAGTTACCTCTCCACTCCACTGCTAGTGCACTGTAGGAGGCCATCCATGACAGATAGAAAGAACTCATCTATCTAGAGCAAGTCATCGCATGTTCAGTTTACTCAACACCAGTTTTCTAGTTTAAATAATATTTTTTTTCAGTTCAAATTTTAGATCCCAGACCTAAGGACTCCTGCTTTTAGCAGCAGAGTTTCAAAGGAAAGAGGGTCAATTTTGGGGGTGGATGGGAGAGGAAAGATAGGGGAGAGTCCCTGAAGTGAGGAAAACTCGTCATGCGTGGACAAACAGGACAAATTATTTATGTGGAGGAGAAGTGCTAAGATAACAAGCCGGGAAAGCAGGGAGAACCTGAAATGGTTCAGAGACAGTGGTGCCATGAGACTGTTGTTAGCGCCATCAGTGGGAGGAAGGGCGTTCAGCTAGGAAACCTGAATCACCCCGATATCGATGTGAATCCAGCTACTTCCTCCTCTGGACTGTGGAAGCTGTCACCACTGGAAGCTTACGTACAAGATCTGGCTTTAGGGAAAGCATTCATCCAGCTGGTGGCAGAGAACCGTGGGGTCAGGCAGGACGAGCTAGGAGAGCCCTGGCTCCGAAGGAGGTAGGGGTGAGAGTGAGGTGGGGTGGGGGCTGCCATAGGCTCATGCCACAGGATCGAGCTGGACTGGTGTTGGATAAATCGACTGTGACCTCCTAGTGAATTGTACTGTGACATCCCTAGTCTCACCCTAAACCATTTTAATAAAGGAAAAGGCTTTCCAAAATATCACACATTCGGCTCCATTCTGTCTTTTTATTGCCCAGTTGTTCGTTACATTTCCAGTCACTTTACATAACCAGCCATTAATTCATTGTCACCTACTGTAAACCACTTCAGCAAGTTAATACAGAAAGCTTTGCATTTCAAAAAACTAGACACTTTAGTAACAATATTACAAAGGTTTTAGCTTCAAAAATAACCGAAAATGAAAAAAATAAACTTTTAAGGAATTAGCATCATAAAATTAATTTATTCCAAGTAAAAATACAAAATAATATTATGACATTGACCAGATATGAAAGTCCCTCCCGAAACAACTCTATTAATGATTGAGAAAGCACTCTTTAAAGAAAATACGAAATAAAATGAAAAATATGTAAATATGTTTAATTTTTTTCTTAGCAAAAAATCTTTCTAAAAATAACAATGAAAATTTTTGTCTCAGTACAAAGGCTACATTACTATTGAAAAAATACCAGCATGAAGAAAAGGTACATATTTGACAGTAGAAAAATGATTTCAGTGAATCACAATGTCTAAAGTTTGCAATGAAAATAAATCTGCAATAAAGATTTATGCCTTTTTTCTTTTCTTTTTTTTTTCTATTTTTTATACAAACAGTACAAACAGTATTGCACATAACAACAAATAGTCGAGGTTAGGTTATAGCCTTCAAAAAAACAAGTTCAAGTCTCACCCCAAGGAATGGCCACAGGAGGCCTGGAGGACCAGGCGCTTCTCAGGCAGGTTACAGACAGTTCAAAACACCTTTTGTGGATTTTTTTTAAAAAATAATTTTTTTTTGAAGGACCCTCTCTTTTAATAGAACATTAACAACTGGGGGGGAGGGGCACACTTATTTACAAACAAAAGGGAACATGTTATAATTTAATAAACTAAAAAAGTTCTCTTTAAAAAAATACAAACAGAAGAACTCTTTCACAATTCTGGTCAGTCGTGCATAATCAACGCTTGATTAGAAATATACAAATTAAGGGAAAATATTTTTCACCGTCTATTCACAGCTCTCAGCACCAAATGGAGTTTGTTTTCAACCTATTCTCCACGGCAATGTTGGACTCAACTCTATGCTGTACGTCTTCCAGCTTTCTCTCTGGCGGGGTGATTTTAGTATGCGAAAGAGGGGTGTGTCTTCAAAAAGTTTTGCTCCTTCCACACAACTAGGTAGGTTTCTGTAGGTTAGACAGGATCTTTAATATTATAGTTATAAAGCTCTAACTTCTTCATTTTCAAAAAAACCGCAAATAAGCATGAAAAAAATAAAGTTACCCATCTGTTAAATCATTTTTTCTTGCAGAATTAAATTAATATATATTTTTTCTGAATAAACTTACTTAGAAAATATCATTTTCTTTCCTATATTTCAAAATTGAGGTATTGCAAAGGATCATGTCAGCCAGAAAGCATGCCTTTTTCCTTAAAAAGAAAAAAAATCACCAGCCAACTGTTGGGAACTGTCTAGATACCAAAGGTAGTAAGTAGTGCATAACAAAAGGTCTCACAGATAAAAACAAAACAAAACCAAAAGACATAGAAAGAAAGCGCGCACACACACACACACACACACACACACACGCACACAACACATGCACACAAACAACCTGGGTCACAAAGAGCAAAACTGCTCCAAGGCCCAGAAGTAACTTACACTCAAAAGGGAGAACTATAACAAGTGTTTGAAACTAATTAAAAAAAAAAAACCCACACTTTTTTTTTTCCTTTTAGAAAACAAACCACAACATGTAAACCAATAATCACAACTGAATGTTGGAGAAAAAAAACAAAGCGAAACCAAAACTCAACAGACTTAAGACAGAACAATGACGTCACAGCGGCACACGCGAGAACACAAGCAAGAAAGTCTATTCTGCAGCGTCACAGGCCAGTCAGATTGTCCCCAGAATTGCAACACAGAGAAGGAAGAAGAGAAACCAAAGTTTACAGATTTTCACAATCATCAGTACACTATGTGTGTCTAGATATGGCTATCTGCAGCCCAGCAGTGCATGCTAAATAAATGTCCACTGTGTTAGCAGGTCTGAATTAGATTCAAGCTTTGCAGGATCTGTTCGGGGAAGTAAGAAGTGAATTTCACAGCTAGAAACCCCTCTCCTCCAATGCCACCTTCCTTTGTGCAGACATTTCTTTAGCATCACCTTTTCCCCAACTTTCTGAAAATGTGCCGTTTGTCAATCTGACAATTTAGCTCTATAGATTGTATATATATATATTCCTAGTGTATGTAAGCTAATATGAGCTCTTTGGTTTTCTGGACAAGGTCTGAAGCTATGTAAAATGGTACAAGCATTAGAAGATTGTAACTAAGAGCTCATGTTTTCATTAATATGCCAGTTACGAACTGTCCAATTTGTTAATGTCTGACACAGTTAAGGTTGATCACAGTTAGACATAATCACTTTACTATATAAAATAAATTGCACAATATATATATATTTATATATATGTATATATATATATATAACAGAGCACCGCAAAGTACTTCATCTACCATCCACAAATTTGCTTTAAGAATATCCTACATCTAGGTTTAATAGTAGTTGCGATATAGGTCATTCTGTTAGGGGCTGTTCTTAATTTCATAAGCATTCCTTTACTGAGGCATGCTTTCCTCCAGTCGGCAACCAGTTCTTTGGAGAAAAAAAAAAGGAAAAAAAAAACACCCCCAAACCATGGTGGTTGTGTTTTGTCTTTTTAAATGAGTATTTTGTAGCCTACGTAGATTCTTAATTTGTGCACCGTGGGCAAGTTTTATACTAGACATTAGATATAAAATTTATTGCATGCAGCAATCTGATTAAGTAAACATGCAGTCAAAAGTATTGACCTTCCTTGGAAGCTTCCTGTGTCTGCGGATCTCTCCTTCCATCAGTGGTCGCTATTTCTAACTCACAGGACGTGTGATGTGGGTTTGTTTCATTCAATCGATACCCTAGCTTGAATAGAGTATTATGGTATTAACAATACCATTTTAATAGCAGCAAAAGCTATCGCAGCATACATTTATCTAACGCTAAAAGACCTAACCAAAATCCTCAGCAGAACAAAAATAAAAAAAAAAGTGGAAGGGGGAAAAAAAAATAAAAGCTATAGCTCATGAGGTAACATCCTTACAAGTCGAAATGGAGAGCAACTAAAGGCTTATTTTTCTTGAAGGGTTATTTTGACTCTAAATGACCCAAACTAAGGATTGCTGAACATCAGTGAAGTTGTTGCTACATCTGCCACCTACTTGATGAGGATTACCTTTGGTGAGTCATTTTCTAGGGGCAATTCTAAAGTTTCTGAAAATAAGTGCATGCTCTGGTTTAAAAAATAAGAACAATTAGAATTCTACAAAAGAAAATTGTCATCACAAACATCGGCCTGACGGAGGCTGATTAGAATGGCAGTCTACAAATTGTCACTAGTGACAAGTCTTGGGTAAGAATTAAGGTACCAAGCAGACAATGGGGGAGTCAAAGTGCAAGCCAGGACAGTTACACTCTGCAGGTTTGCATTATACCGGACACTGAGTTCAGTAATATGACTGTAAATAATAATAATAAAAAAGACCCATTTCTTCTTTAAAGTCGAGAACAAATGCACAGATTTCCAGAACACTCTAAGCCCAGAGGCAGCCGCTCTTTTCCCTCCAAGTTATCTACTCCAGTACGTGTGGCTGAGCTAGGCACTGGACTCAGCTCCAGCGGAAGGGGACGTGGCGGGGGCGGTCTCCCCCCTCCTTCACCAGTGGCTTGTGGAACTCCCGCCCAGCTCGGGAGTGTATGCTGGCCCAACAGTATTCACAGTAATACTGCAAACAGGTGACGTTGGCACAGAAGAAGGGAGCAAACTTGCCACCGCAGCGGGTGCCTTGGCATTCGTCACACATCTGATCATCCAGCACGTATGGCTTCACTTCCACCTGACACAGAGAAAGAAACGGAGGGTCAGTTTGCACCAAGGGTCTCACACTCGAGACACCAGCAATGTGAACCTGGCCAGAACTGGAAAAGAAGATGTCTCCCCTTCAGGGGCTGCAGGCAATTCCATTCCATTCACACCATGCTGGGTACACCAAGAGAAAAGCAAAATAATCCCTGCAGTCGAGGAGTGTGCAAGTCAACCAGACTGGGAGCTCTCTGAGAGCAGGGGATGGTTTTTGTCTTCTTTTTTTTCTTTGGCCAAGTCTTAGCACAAAGTAAACGCTTAAATAAATGCTTATTAATAGCTAATAATTGTATAGCACTTACAATGTACCAGGCACTATGCTGAGTGCTTTACAATGAATATCTAATTTGATCTGCATTATTTCCCCCATTTTACAGATGAGGAAAATGAGGCAAACAGAGGTTAGGTGACTCGCCCAGGGTCACACAGCTAAGTGCATGAGGCTAGATTTGAACTCAGGTCTCTGACTCAAAGCCCATCACTACCCCATCTAGTTGCCACCTATGCCACCTTGCGCCTAGGCGACTGATTAATTGAAATACTTCTCAAACATACTATAACAACCCACTGAACCACCAATGACTGATTGAGTGATTGAAATACTTCTTGAATATAGTAAAAATAACCCACTGTCCTTTTTGGAATAAAAAGTCCTGTACGTTTTTCACCAGCTATGTAAAGTTATACTTTAAGTATAGTAAACCAGTCTGTGTTCATCCCACCCACATCTTTCTCGGTTTTATAAAAGTCTTACACCATAGCTGCTTGAAACTTTAGTCATTCCATGTTGAAATTCTTTTTTTTTTTTTTTGATGAGGCAACTGGGGTTAAGTGACTTGCCCCAGAGTCACACAGCTAGTGTTACGTGTCTGAGGCTGAATTTGAACTCAGGTCCTCCTGACTCCAGGACCAGTGCTCTATCCACTGTGCCACCTAGCTGCCCCCATGTTGAAAATCTTTTGGACCTAGCCCTAGTTTGACTATGTACTGGCTGACTGACCTTGGGCAAGTCCATTACCTTATGAGTCTCAATTTCCTCATCTGTAAAATGGGGATAATAGCATTACAAGGTTGGTATAAGCATCAAATGAGATAACAATGTGTCCTTTTCGTAATCATAAAATGCTACACAAATGATGGGGCTACTTCTATTCTTCCTATATTGTCCTCAGGAAAAGGCACTTAAGTATACAGTGACAATGTGGCTTTCTTCAACCTTCCAGTAGCAATGAACTCTATTGGAGTTTACCTTAGAAGTTTTCACTCCTAGAGTTTTAAGCCTTGGCACTTACCGAATCTCTGCTTCTGCTTTAGGGGTGCTTATCTCACTACCTCTGCTCTGGGTGGTTTTTCTAAAGTAACACAATGACTGGCAAAGAGTGGGCACATTATAAATGCTTATTGATCGCACGGATCTTCCACAGCCAATATGTGCTGGCTGATCCAGCCTTTAATGTAAACATTCTCATTTTCAGCCTGGAACATGTAGCCAATGGGCTTGTTTTGGGTTTATGTAGACACATTCTTTTTTTTTTTTTGTTTTTTTAGGCAATTGGGGTTAAGTGACTTGCCCAGGGTCACACAGCTAGTAAGTGTCAAGTGTTTGGTCTGAGGCCGGATTTGAACTCAGGTCCTTCTGACTTCAGGGTTGGTGCTCTATTCACTGTACCACCTAACTGCCCCTGACATATTCTTCATAGTATAATTTTTCTAGCTTACTTGGATAGCTGATTCCAAACATGCGATCTTAAATAAATTCACCCCTAACCTTCTTACTATGGTTTGGGCAAAGCAACGTCTACTTGAAGGTCAAGAGAAAATTTTCTCATCCTTGGCTAGGAATGTAATCACTTTCCCACCTCAGAGAGATGAATCACTAACTCCTATTTTTTCTTGGGGATGGAGGAATAGATCCTGAGGACCATGTATTGATAACAATATTTAAAATAAAAATGATATCAACATGTGGCATTATCAACATATTTTCACCCCTCCAGTAACAAGGTACATAGGGCTCACTCCATCACACCTCCTCATGCATTGTTTAAGCCTTAAGCCAAGTCTTATTCCCTTCCTCTCTGCAAAGCTCTCTCTGACTCCCACCCACTCACCAGTGCCTCCTATGAACTCCAGGAGCATTTCTCATCTAGACCCTCCATTTGACATCTACGACAGAATGTCTTGTCATTACTACCTTTTTATGTACAATTAAATTGTAAGCTCCATGAACATGCTAACACAGAGCTGGGCACACAGACTTTCAAATGTCTGTTTATGTTTATCCATTTAAATAACCCGAGGATGTATGAATCCTTCCTGAGAATCAGTGTAGCTTATTCCCTCCCCTTAGTTAGACTGTTTGGGTCTGAAGTTAAGGATCCAATAAGCAAATGTAGTAGTGAGTTATCCCATTTCATGCATAATTACAATGATTCAATGTGTCTTTTTTTCCTTGGTAGTTTAGTTTCCTAGCTTTGTGCCCATGGAACTTTGGAAGGCTGAGTGGTTAAGAAATCTTTTATTTCAGAATCACTGGGTCTCAGAGTTGGGGAGGGACCTCTGCTGTATCTTATCCAACTTCTACTTGACCAAGAATCTTCTCTACAACAAGTCCTCACACAGCTTCCACTTTTCTCACTTCTCCACCATGCCCCAGGAAGTACTGAGAAAACCTCATCAACCTTAAGACTGTACCTCCTCATTGCCCTTGGCCTCTCTGATTGGAGTCTAGAGCATGAAGTCCAAAGCCTCCATTTAAGCAGACAGCTCAGCTCAGATACCAACTTATTTCTCACCAGGCTACATTACTTTGGGGCTTCTCTGATTGACTTTTCCACCATGCCCCAAGAAGTTCATTACTGGGAAAACCTCATCATCTTGCCAGATTCTATCAGCCTTGATGCTTCATCTTATCACTACCTTCTATCCCTCTGATTGGAAGGTGAAGCCAGGAGCTCCAAAATCTTCATTTAAGGAGGGAGCTCATTAAGGAGAACATCTCATTTCTTATCTGGCTTCACTACTTCAGGATTTCTCTGACTTTTCCCCCATGTCCTCTATGGGGTACCTTCCCCTTGCCTCTTCCCTCCCCACCCTGCCCAATCCCATTTTTCAGCTTCTCTTGTGTTGTTGTCCTTCCTCAGCAGAAGTACTATTGAAACCTTGGGAAAAACAAGACAAAAACATTGGTCCAGACACCAAGACTCCATAAGTGGATGGAAGAAATGAAGCAATATGGGGCAGCTAGGTGATGCAGTGGATAGAGCACCAGCCCTGAAGTCAGGAGGACCTGAGTTCAAATCCGGCCTCAGACCAAACACTTGATGCTAGCTGTGTGACCCCAGGCAAGTCACTTAACCCCAATTGCCTAAAAAAAAAAAAAGAAAGAAATGAAGCAATAGATTAAAAAATGAAATGTGGTTTTTCAGGAAAAAGTAGAAAGGAGAATAAATTGTTTAGATCAGAAGGTAGAAAACATGATTCAAGGTGTGGACTCCCTGAAAAACAGAATGGAGCAAACAGAACTCAATGATTCAATGAGACAACGAAAAAAAAAATCAGAACAAGATCGAGTGACTGGATGATTAGGAAAAATAACAAATAAAATCTTATTTGATCCTCACGACAACCCTCAGAGGTAGGTACTATTATTATTTCCATTTTACTGATGAGAAAATGAGGCAGAAAGGAAAAAGTGGAGGGAAGGGAAGGGAATAAGCTTTCTATAAGGCCTGCAATGTGCCAGGCACTGTGCTAAGAACTTTTTACAAACATTACATCTTTTGATTCTCACAATAAGCCTGGGAGATAAGGCGGTATTATTCCCATTCTTGCATTTGGCATAGTGCCTAAAACATAGGAGATGCTTCATAAATGTTTACTGACTGATTGCCTTCTAATGAAGTCCCTTCCAGGGAGAAGGAACCCCATACCTCCTGATGCAACCCATTCATTCCTCTTTTGGAAAGCTCTAAAAAACAAGTACACAACCCCCTTCTCTGCGACTGATGCCCTTGTTGGAACCAGGGGAAATCTTCTCAGCCTCAAATGTACCGCCTTCACGAAGTTTTCTTTCCTTCCTTGAAAGTCACATAGCACTTGGTACCTTTCAAACTAGTCTAGCCTATGGGATTCATATCTTTACCACACTGTATTTGTATACTGGCCCCACTGCTCTTGTTAAACTGTCATCTCCATGAAGGCAGGGGCCAGGTCTTCATGGGCCTTTACACCTCCCTAGGACCTACCTGGCTGAGGGCACTGTCAGTGCCATCTCTGCAGTCCAGCCTCCACAATTCTGGGAGTTCCCTGGCCCTGCCTTTCTCCTAGAAAAGGATAGGGCTTCTCTAAGAACATCTTGCTTCACATTCCCTTAGATTCCAGCCCCAGGAACAGACATAAGGCTGCAAACCTCTTGCCTCAGTGCTAGGCCTTTACTTCATCTCCCCCCAAAGTCTAAACCGCTGAAGGAAGGTCTGAAAAATACCAGAAATAGGAAAAACATTTTTTTCTATTTCTCTCACAATTTAGAAACAACATGCTTCCATGTGAGCTCTCACTCTTTGACAGCATCTGAGGGATGTCTGAGCAATGTCACTTGTCTTTCCTGTGTATATTTATTGCAGAGTTTGGCATAAATTGTAGGACACTGCTTATTTATTCAATTTTTTTAGTGATGTTACAGTATTTTGATTATTTTACTCCACTTCCCAATAATCAGTCTCCTCTCTTTTATTTTACTTGTTTATTTTGTAAACTATGCCCTTTAAGGGACAAAGATCTTTGGGGTTACGGTGATTGTACCCATGGTTCATAGATGGTCTGACCCTATGGTTTCTAAGGTTTTAGCCACTTGTCCACCCTCTCCTTCCATCAAAATTAAATCACCACTGGGCAACATTATTTTTAAAATGTCTAAAAGGGAACTATGGGAAGTCAGGGATGAGGTTCAATCATAAAACTGGGGAATTTTCA